AGGCACTGCAAAATCTATCGTAGCCGAAAAAGATTCTGACTGCGTTGTTTATTATGCCTCCGCCTGTGTGCGGTAAGAGCTGATGCGTTTGTGAACCTTTTTGAGCAGGATTGTTTATGATGGACGACAATGAAGCCGCCGCCCGTATGACACAGCGCGTGACTTTTGAGATGTGCTGAATCCAAATATCGTGCCGGCACATGGAGCAGCCGAACTGCCGCTCCCCTGTGTAGATTCGCATGCTCCCCGTGAGGCCTAACCGGAAAATGAACCGTGCCAGTCAGATGGAGCAGCCGCACGGTCGCTATACTGAGTGGCTCCTCATGGGTTTGGGGAGATCTGACCCAGCAGAGAAACGTGCCGGGAGATGAAGCAGCTGTGCGGGCGCTACTCGTGTGCGTGCGTACGCAGGTGTACGATAAGGTCTGACTGCTGAATGAACCGTGCCGGGCAGATGACGCAGCCAAACCGCTTCTCCTCTGTGTGGGTTCGCATGTGTACAGTGAGACCTGACCGCTGGGCGAACCGTGCCGGGCAAATAGAACAGCCAAACGGCTTCTCCGCTGTGTGGGTCCGCATGTGACTGGTGAGGCTATAGCGCCGAGCGAACCGCGCCTGGCAAATGGAGCAGCCAAACGGCTTCTCCCCTGTGTGGGTCCGCATGTGGCTGACGAGATTTGACCGCTGAGTGAACCGTGCCGGGCAAATGGAGCAGCCAAAAGGCTTCTCCCCTGAGTGGGCCCGCATGTGCCTGATGAAATGCGACTGATGAGTGAACCGTGCCGGGCAAATGGAACAGCCAAAGGGCTTCTCCCCTGTGTGGGTCCGCATGTGGCTGTCGAGATTTGACCGCTGAGTGAACCGTGCCGGGCAAATGGAGCAGCTGTACGGCTTCTCCCCAGTATGGGTTCGTATGTGTACAGTGAGATCTGCGCGTGTAACAAATCTGGCTCGACATTCATGACACTGATGCGGCTTCACACGGACACCGGGTGTCTTGTGTTCTTTGCCGTTAGTTGTAGCTAAACACTCGGTCGCAGACTGCTCACACTGCCGGACCTTCTCGCCAACGTGGACACGTCTGTGCATCGTCAGGGTACCGGACCGTGTGAACACCTTCCCACAGATATCACACTTGCACGGACTCTGACCGGTGTGCACACGACGGTGAGCGGTCAGACCGACTTGTTGAGCAAACGTTTTGCCGCACACTTCACAGCGGTACGGCCGTTCTTTCGCGTGAGTCCTTCGGTGCCGCGTCATGCTACCGAAGTGGTCGGTGACGTAAGAACACCACTTGCACTTGTATCTGCCGTTCACGCTTTGGCCATGTCGTCTCTTCAAGTGTCTGTCCAGACGATGTTGTCCCAAACAGCTGAAGTCGCAGTGGGGACACTGAAGAGTGCCACCAAAACCTGGAGAACACATTTGCATATATTGGTTGACGCTACAAACGTTAGCGATCAGCAAACAAGTGCATAGACATGTGAGTGACATCAATGATCACAACCCAATTGATCTTGCAACGAATTGCAGATCACAGGAGCCCTGGTTATACAAGATATTAAGTTGAAACTTTATGTTGGATCTTTTAACACGATCAATCTGGCGACAAGACAAGGACAAGGGCGTAATGTCTATGATCTGGTGTGTGGCCTGTGTGGGATATCACAATGCTTAACCGCCGTGGAGCCGAGGGTCGTGGAGACACCGTGGACGGTGGAGCCGAGGTTGGTGGAGACACTGTGGCCGGTGGAGCCAAGGGTGGTGGAGACACCGTGGCCGGTGGAGCCGAGGGTGGTGGAGACACCGTGGCCGGAGGAGCCGAGGTTGGTGGAGACACCGTGGCCGGTGGAGCCAAGGGTGGTGGAGACACCGTGGCCGGTGGAGCCGAGGGTGGTGGAGACACCGTGGACGGCGGGGATGACTGATGAGGTCTGCCGAAAACATGTCTCCCAGAAACTGACCGTGGAGACGCCTCTGGACACGAAACAAACTCATCATTTTGACCCAATACCCTCCATGGCTGACAACGAAAACGTCGACAATTTCAATGCCGTCAGCTCATGCCATTTTTTCGCACAGAGAAGAAAAACTGGCCGGTGGGGGCAAATCAGCCCCCCCCCCTCAAATATGTTATATAGTAATCCTGGGCGTAAATCTCGACTCGAATCTGACTTGGGAACACCACATAGGCACAGTCACCCGGCGGTGTTACTGTGTTTTGATAGGGCTGGCCAGAATGCAGCGCCGCGTACCGCGAGAAACAAAGAAACTGCTAGTTGAAGCCCTCGTGTTCCCCCATTTGTACTACTGCATGAGTGTGTGGGGAGGCTGTAATGCGACCCAGAAACGTCGGCTACAAAAGTGCATCAACTTTGCCGCCCGCGTCGTGTCTGGCTTAGGGTACCGTGAGCACATATCCGGGACGTTGCGCGAGCTTGGCTGGCCCACCATCGGAGACATGATAACCGAACGTGACCTATGCACCATGTACAAACTCACACGTGAGAGCGCCCCTGAACTTTTGCGCGCTCGACTGGTGAGTCGCGCCAATGTGTCGTCGCGCACCACCAGGGCGGTCAGCGACGGTCTGCTGGAGCTGCCGCGTGCACGCACCGAGCTTGCCAGACGCTCTTTTTACCACCGGGCGGTGAGAGCGTGGAATTGCCTGACCCCCGAGATCAGAGCATCACCAAATATGACTGCTTTTAAGAAAGGTATGTCGATTGCGCACTTAGGTTGATGCACTTGTTTGTGATTACTGTCATGCTAGGTACGTGTTTCTGTGTGTGTATCTGTGTGTCTTTCATTGTCGCTTTTATTGTCAGATGACGTGGATTGCTGAAAAACCATTTTATGGATGTTGTCCGAAATACATGATGATGATGATGATGAGTAACAAAATGTTCCGGCTACATTCTTCGTGCCAGGCATAGACCCGGGAACAGGGGGGGGGAGGTGGGGGGCAGCGGGGGCGCTTGCCCCCAACTTGCCCCCAACTTTTTTGCAATGGTTTGCTAAAATGCTCACTACAAATAAATTTGTTGGGCAGACATTGGGGCAGAAAATAAATAGATTCTGATAGGAAAATGAACGGTCTCTCCAAAAATCAATCCAATAATACGGTGGCACACATAAAGCGTGAGCAGTGAAGGTTCAAATGAAGGGAGTCGCTAATTATGTATCTTACCCATATGTATAGGAATTTTAGGTCTCATGGTGCTACGCATTTGAATTAAAAGCGAAGCATTTATACCCCAGAAGCATTTACTAAAACTGGAAGGGAAAACTCCTACATTCCGTCTACTTGGGGACAATATCCCTCCGTCCACCGTCCTTCTCTGTGGCCACGTTTGCTCACTGGTATCCCACGGGTCCGAATTTCACAAGATGCTAAAATACATTTTCATTTTACCTGAGTTTGGGGTATAGGGTAAGGTGCCTAATTAGCGACCATTTCCTATTTGCGACCTGCCTCCCTACAGAAAAACTGGTGGGAGAAAACGGGGTAAAAACGTCGTCAAAAGGTCAGCCATACTTTGGTTATCAAATTAAATTATTTTACGGTTGTCGATGTTTCTGGTGGGACGTTTCAGGTGAGTTTAAATGAAAATGACGAGTTTCTTATCCAAAACGTGTGTGTTTGGGCCCTCTCTGATGAAAAGCGATGCACATTAGGATGATGCACCTTTTTTATTCTGAATAGACATTCCTTTTTCAATTGATTGCCGTTTTCCCATAGTGAATCGCTTAACTGTGCAGAGCATGGCGGTTAAAAATGTGTCGCAACTCATATTTCCTATTTGCGCCTGACATGGTCGCAAATAGCTCAAGAAGGGAAAGAAAGGGGAAAAGAGAGAAATGAAAATGAGGTGTTGCTGAAGCTTGCAATGTGTGGCAGGGGATGTCAAATGTCGTCACCGACTGCAGGGGTGCCGAATTCAGCGCAGACCTCGAATATCATACGAGACAGCCCGCAAAATTTGGGTTTCCGCCTTCTTTTCGCCTTCGATGCTTCACGTGATCAGTTTTTACTTACATAAATGTGTTGGATAAACGTTCCTGTTCGAATGATTGAGTGCTTTGCGAATAGGTTACCTTTTTGAGATAATATTTCATCTTTTCAGGCGTCGCATTTTTTTGCCATTTTTAATATGGGGAAACCCATAGACATATTAGCGAGTGCGACCCTCCCCGGTCGCTAATCGGGAAGAGTTCCCTATAAGCGTTTTTTTTTTTTGCAATGGTTTGCCAAAATGCTCACTACAAATAAGTTAGTGAATACTGAAGCAGAAAATGACTATATTTTAATAGAAAAATGAACGACCTCTCCGAAAATCAAGCCAGTAATACAGTGACACCCACAGAGCGTGAGCAATGACGGTTCAAATTAAGGGTGTCGCTAATAAGGCACCTTACCCTACCGTCGAACTGAACATCATCAACATTCTTTCGAACAAGTTTTATTTCTGTGTGCAACGACTCGTTGCGAACGACCGATGCAATTGGTTACTTTTTTAGATATCCATGGATGTTTTTTTCTGGGGAGGGACGTCCCCCACGAATAGCCCCTCCCCCGTCTCCGACGCCCATGGTACGGTCATTCCCCTGTGTATTATGAGAGAGAGAGAGAGAGAGAGAGAGAGAGAGAGAGAGAGAGAGAGAGAGACGAGACAGAGAGAGAGAGAGAGAGAGGGAGAGACAGAGAGAGACAGAGAGAGAGAGAGACAGAGAGAGAGAGAGAGAGAGAGAGAGAGAGAGAGAGAGAGAGAGAGAGAGAGAGAGAGAGAGAGAGAGAGAGAGAGAGAGAGAGAGACAGAAAGAGAGAGAGAGAGAGAGAGAGAGAGAGAGAGAGAGAGAGAGAGAGAGAGAGAGACAGAAAGAGAGAGAGAGAGAGAGAGAGAGAGAGAAAGAGAGAAAGAGAGAGAGAGAGAGAGAGAGAGAGAGAGAGAGAGAGAGAGAGAGAGAGAGAGAGAGAGAGAGAGAGAGAGAGAGAGAGAGAGAGAGAGAGAGAGAGAGAGAGAGAGAGAGAGAGAGAGAGAGAGAACTTTGTATTTACAGACACTTGGTCCAATTCTACCAAACATCACATATCAAGGCGCTATCAGAGCAGCGTTCCATGTCACTCTTAAGGGTGAGTGCCACCCTATGTCACATTTAACCAATAGGTACACTGATAATGCTATTTGTCGAATCATATAAACGCTGCACGAAACACCACGCTGCTTTTCGGAACATGACATCAAAGTTATCGAGACCTTCAGACACATACATAGCCGAGGCACTGCAAAATCTATCGTAGCCGAAAAAGATTCTGACTGCGTTGTTTATTATGCCTCCGCCTGTGTGCGGTAAGAGCTGATGCGTTTGTGAACCTTTTTCAGCAGGATTGTTTATGATGGACGACAATGAAGCCGCCGCCCGTATGACACAGCGGGTGACTTTTGAGATGTGATGAATCCAAATATCGTGCCGGCACATGGAGCAGCCGAACGGCCGCTCCCCTGTGTAGATTCGCATGCTCCCCGTGAGGCCTAACCGGAAAGCGAACCGTGCCAGTCAGATGGAGCAGCCGCACGGTCGCTATACTGAGTGGCTCCTCATGGGTTTGGGGAGATCTGACCCAGCAGAGAAACGTGCCGCGAGATGAAGCAACTGTGCGGGCGCTACTCGGGTGCGTGCGTACGCAGGTGTACGATAAGGTGTGACTGCTGAATGAACCGTGCCGGGCAGATGACGCAGCCAAACCGCTTCTCCCCTGTGTGGGTCCGCATGTGCCTGGTGAGATTTGAACGAAGAGCAAACCGTGCCGGGCAAATGGAGCAGCCAAAAGGCTTCTCCTCTGTGTGGGTTCGCATGTGGCTGGTGAGGCTTGGCCGGCAAGAGAAACGCATCGTGCACATAGAACAGCCAAACGGCTTCTCCCCTGTGTGAGTTCGCATGTGTAAGGTGAGGCTATAGCGCCGAGCGAACCGCGCCTGGCAAATGGAGCAGCCAAACGGCTTCTCCCCTGTGTGGGTCCGCATGTGTACGGTGAGGATATGCCGCTGAGCGAACCGTGCCTTGCAAATGGAGCAGTCAAAAGGCTTCTCCCCTGTGTGGGTCCGCATGTGTACGGTGAGGATATGCCGCTGAGAGAACCGTGCCTTGCAAATGGAGCAGTCAAAAGGCTTCTCCCCTGAGTGGGTCCGCATGTGTACGTTGAGGTTTGGCCGATGAGCGAACCGTGCCGGGCAAATGGAGCAGCCAAACGGCTTCTCCCCTGTATGGATACGCATGTGGTTGGTGAGGCTTTTACGCTCAGCGAACCGTGCCGGGCAAATAGAGCAGCCGTGCGGTTTCTCCCCTGTGTGGGTTCGCATGTGGCGGGTGAGGCTTGGCCGGCAAGAGAAACGCATCGTGCACATAGAACAGCCAAACGGCTTCTCCCCTGTGTGAGTTCGCATGTGACTGGTGAGAGTTGAACGAAGAGCAAACCGTGCCGGGCAAATGGAGCAGCCATACGGCTTCTCTCCTGTGTGGGTCCTCATGTGGCCGCTGAGACCCGATCGCTGAGCAAAACGTGCCGGGCAAATGGAGCAGCCATACGGCTTCTCCCCTGTGTGGGTCCGCATGTGTCTGACGAGATGTGACCGCTCAGCGAACCGTGCCGGGCAAATGGAGCAGCTGTACGGCTTCTCCCCGGTATGGGTTCGTATGTGTACAGTGAGATCTGCGCGTGTAACAAATCTGGCTCGACATTCATGACACTGATGCGGCTTCACACGGACACCGGGTGTCTTGTGTTCTTTGCCGTTAGTTGTAGCTAAACACGCGGCACCAGACTGCTCACACTGCCGGACCTTTTCGCCAGCGTGGACACGTCTGTGCATCGCCAGATCACCAGAACGTGTGAACGCCTTCCCACAGATATCACACTTGCACGGACTCTGACCGGTGTGCACACGACGGTGAGCGGTCAGACCGACTTGTTGAGATTGAGAAAACGTTTTGCCGCACACTTCACAGCGGTACGGCCGTTCTTTCGCGTGAGTCCTTCGGTGCCGCGTCATGCTGCCGGAGTGGTCGGTGACGTAAGAACACCACTTGCACTTGTATCTGCCGTTCACGCTTTGGCCGTGTCGTCTCTTCAAGTGTCTGCCCAGACAATGTTGTCCCAAACAGCTGAAGTCGCAGTGGGGACACTGAAGAGTGCCACCAAAACCTGGAGAACACATTTGCATATATTGATTGACGCTACAAACGTTAGCGATCAGCAAACAAGTGCATAGACAAGTGAGTGACATCAATGATCCCAACCCAATTGATCTTGCAACGAATTGCAGATCACAGGAGCCCTGGTTATACAAGATATTAAGTTGAAACTTTATGTTGGATCTTTAAACACGATCAATCTGGCGACAAGGTAAGGACAAGGGCGTAATGTCTATGATCTGGTGTGTGGCCTGTGTGGGATATCACAATGCTTAACCGCCGTGGAGCCGAGGGTCGTGGAGACACCGTGGACGGTGGAGCCGAGGTTGGTGGAGACACCGTGGCCGCGGTGGAGCCGAGGGTGGTGGAGACACCGTGGCCGGTGGAGCCGAGGGTGGTGGAGACACCGTGGACGGCGGAGCCAAGGGTGGTGGAGACACCGTGGCCGGTGGAGCCGAGGGTGGTGGAGACACCGTGGACAGCGGGGATGACTGATGAGGTCTGCCGAAAACATGTCTCCCAGAAACTGACCGTGGAGACGCCTCTGAACACGAAACAAACTCATCATTTTGACCCAATACCCTCCATGACTGACAATGAAAACGTCGACAATTTCAATGCCGTCAGCTCATGCCATTTTTCGCACAGAGAAGAAAAACTGGCCGGTGGGGGCAAATCAGCCCCCCCCCCCTCAAATATGTTATATAGTAACAAAATGTTCCGGCTACATTCTTGGTGCCAGGCATAGACCCGAGAACAGGGGGGGGGGGGGGGGGGCAGCGGGGGCGCTTGCCCCCAACTTGCCCCAAACTTTTTTGCAATGGTTCGCTAAAATGCTCACTACAAATAAATTTGTTGGGCAGACATTGGGGCAGAAAAAAATAGATTCTGATAGGAAAATGAACGGTCTCTCCAAAAATCAATCCAATAATACGGTGGAACACATAAAGCGTGAGCAGTGAAGGTTCAAATGAAGGGAGTCGCTAATTATGTATCTTACCCATATGTATAGGAATTTTAGGTCTCATGGTGCTACGCATTTGAATTAAAAGCGAAGCATTTATAGACCAGAAGCATTTACTAAAACTGGAAGGGAAAACTCCTACATTCCGCCTACTTGGGGACAATATCCCTCCGTCCACCGTCCTTCTCTGTGGCCAGCTTTGCTCACCGGTATCCGACGGGTCCGAATTTCACAAGATGCTAAAATACATTTTCATTTTACCTGAGTTTTGGGTATAGGGTAAGGTGCCTAATTAGCGACCCTTTGCGATTTGCGACCTGCCTCCCTACAGAAAAACTGGTGGGAGAAAACGGGGTAAAAACGTCGTCAAAAGGTCAGCCATACTTTGGTTATCAAATTAAATTATTTTACGGTTGTCGATGTTTCTGGTGGGACGTTTCAGGTGAGTTTAAATGAAAATGACGAGTTTCTTATCCAAAACGTGGCCCTCTCTGATGAAAAGCGATGCACATTAGGATGATGCACCTTTTTTATTTTGAATCGACATTCCTTTTTCAATTGATTGCCGTTTTCCCATAGTGAATCGCTTAACTGTGCAGAGCATGGCGGTTAAAAATGTGTCGCAACTCATATTTCCTATTTGCGCCGGCTGACATGGTCGCAAATAGCTCAAGAAGGGAAAGAAAGGGGAAAAGAGAGAAATGAAAATGAGGTGTTGCTGAAGCTTGCAATGTGTGGCAGGGGATGTCAAATGTCGTCACCGACTGCAGGGGTGCCGAATTCAGCGCAGACCTCGAATATCATACGAGACAGCCCGCAAAATTTGGGTTTCCGCCTTCTTTTCGCCTTCGGTGCATCAGGTGATCAGTTTTTACTTACATAAATGTGTTGGATAAACGTTCCTGTTCGAATGATTGAGTGCTTTGCGTATAGGTTACCTTTTTGAGATAATATTTCATCTTTTCAGGCGTCGCATTTTTTGCCATTTTTAATATGGGGAAACCCATAGACATATTAGCGAGTGCGACCCTCCCCGGTCGCTAATCGGGAAGAGTTCCCTATTAGCGTTTTTTTTTTTGCAATGGTTTGCCAAAATGCTCACTACAAATAAGTTAGTGAATACTGAAGCAGAAAATGACTATATTTTAATAGAAAAATGAACGACCTCTCCGAAAATCAAGCCAGTAATACAGTGGCACCCACAGAGCGTGAGCAATGACGGTTCAAATTAAGGGTGTCGCTAATTAGGCACCTTACCCTACCGTCGAACTGAACATCATCAACATTCTGTTAGGAAGTGTTAGTGGATCGTGTGCCCGTTGCCTCCCCTCGGCGCGCTGCTGGACGCGCCTCTGCGGGCCGCCTCCCTCTGAGCGCGCCGCTGCGACCGGCGGCGCGGGGTCACGGCCGCAGCCGGGGGCGGCGGTCATTCTGGACCGGGGAGCCGCCACGCGCGGGTGCTGCCGCTGGTGCTGCTGCTGCTGGTGCAATGCCTGTATTGAGCACCAATACACGACTGATGGGTACGCTGCCTGTGGCCTAACATTGGCGCGGTCAAGGTAAGCTCATTTACGCTCCCTACATTTAAGTGATGTTCGGTTAAACGGTAACCGTTTTGTGGGCCATCGTGTGGGCTGTCAGACATTTCCGGCAATACCTCGCGGCCACCAAGTTCACTGTCCTGACAGACCACAAACCACTCAAAAACGTCCCAAAATCTATCAACGTCGACGGCGATGCCACCGGTCGGAGAGGTCGGTGGGCCATTGAGCTCAGTACTTACGATTTTGTCGTTGAGTACCGCAAGGGCAGCGACAATGGTAATGCTGACGCTCTGTCGAGGCCCGTCCTTGACGTCACTGACTCCACAGCTGAAACGGAGACCAAAGAGCTGCTGGCCGCCAACCACAAGGGCGGTCGAGAAGACATTCCCCTCGAAAAGCTACAATTGGAGCAGGAGCTCGACCCCTTACTGGGTGAGGTCAGAAACTGGCTGGAAGCAAAGAAGCTCCCTTCTAAAAAAGAATTGCAGAAGAAGAACAGCTCACTACGTAGCATGGCTCGATTTTTCGACCAGCTCACGATGGAAAACGGGATTTTGAAGCTAAGGCGACATGGCAACAGCTCAGTCATTGTCCTTCCAAAAATCTATCATGAGACAGTCCTGAACATGCTACACGACGATGAGGCTGCTGGTCATCTGGGAACCGACAGAACTCTCGAGAGAGCAGCAACCAGGTTTTTCTGGCTGGGGATGAGCGGGGACATCGCCCGCTACTGCGAAACTTGCGAGACCTGTCAACGACGCAGTCGCCCAGCACCACAGATGCAAGCAACTCTCCGAACCGAATCCTATTCGAGGCCATTTGAAAGAGTGGCTATCGATATCACCGAGATGCCGATGTCGGCTCGCGGTAATAGGTACGCTTTAGTAGCAATGGACTACTTTACCAAATACGTCTTTGCCTACCCCATGCAGAACCAGACAGCTGAAACTGTATCTGACTGTCTTCTGGACATGGTATTGCGGAAAGGGGTGCCAGAACGCCTTCACAGCGATCAAGGTCGCCAGTTTGAGTCTGCGGTCTTCCAGTCCCTGTGCAAACGACTAGGAATCGAAAAAACTCGGACATCACCCTATCGGCCTGAGAGCGATGGCATGGTGGAGCGCTTTAACCGCACGCTCAAGGACATGTGCTCGAAATTTATCAAACCTTGCGGATCTGATTGGGACGAACATTTGGCTTTCCTCACCTTCGCATACAACACGTCCAAACACTCGGTGACCGGATTTACCCCATTTTTCCTGGTGCATGGGTATGAGGCACGCCTGCCAGTCGATGAGCTTTTCAACCAGAGGCGCGAGGTGTCGATGGTCGACACGCATGTCGAAAACAGGCTGCGCCAACTCAGAGACGCATACACCAAGGTTCACGAAAACATCAACAAAGCCTCCAACGACATGACAAAAACACAAAACGAGTCGGCGCGAGAGGTTGAATATGTGCCAGGTCAAAAAGTGTGGGTTAGGGACCATACGGCTCACGTCGGAGGTAAACGTAAGCTGGCCCTTCATTACAAAGGCCCTGCGACCATTTTAAGAAGGCACGGTCCGGAAGGAGACGGAGTCACCTACAAGGTCAGCATGCCCGGTGGTAAGGAGACCAACGTTCATCACAATCATCTGAAACCTATGAAACTTCGGAGGAAAGACGATCCAGCCGAACGGCCAGCTGCACCCGAGCAACACGGACAGCGGACCACTGGCGAGACTACGCCTGACGAACACAAACAAAGGACCGACGAGCGCGTATCTCAGGACTCTAACATCATTACGAAGAGTAGTCCATTCATACACTTTTTTCAGGTGCCCAGTGACACGGCTGTGGAACAAACGCCACAACCGACGAGCACATACGTCACACGATACGGGAGAGTATCCCGGCCTCCGGTAAGATACCCCACTCTGTAAATAGGTACGCTTGTTGAAACGACTGCATTAAAAACCGTTGTCAAACTATCTGCATCTCTGTGTACTCCGGCACAGTACCTACTTTTTATAAGCATACACACGTCAGACTTGTTCGATTGTGTGTGACCAAAGTGTGCGACATGTTCTGAGCCAATGTATCATCGGCAGGCCTGAACCTCGAGGGGGTGAAGCGCGAGGTGGCGTCCCACCGCTGAGACGCAGGTGCGGCGCTCGATTTTCGACGCCATCACCAGCGCAGACGTCAGCAGCGCCAGATGTCGCCTGCGCAGCCGTCACCAGGCGGACGTCACCGGAGCAGACGTCACCGGAGCGGACGTCACCGACTGCAGCGCCGCAGACCGAGCAGCTGATGCCACTGCTGCAGCTGATCGCGGCCGATCGCGGTCGAAGCAGCAGTTTCGTCGCGTTGTTTTATAGTGCAAAGAATAAGAGACATTTTATTTAGGGGGGAGGTGTGTTAGGAAGTGTTAGTGGATCGTGTGCCCGTTGCCTCCCCTCGGCGCGCTGCTGGACGCGCCTCTGCGGGCCGCCTCCCTCTGAGCGCGCCGCTGCGACCGGCGGCGCGGGGTCACGGCCGCAGCCGGGGGCGGCGGTCATTCTGGACCGGGGAGCCGCCACGCGC